CTTTAACAGTGTTTCCTAGACTGCAAGGAAAATGAAACAACTATGCATAGTCAGACCAACATAAAGGTTAATTTAAGAGTCTTGGGAGAAACCTTATATGTGCATTGGATATAAGGTGGTAGTCTAGTTTACATATCTAATGACTACCCGCAAGAAGTCATTAGATATCAAAAATAAAATTTAATCATGTTTGTCATTATTCTCGTATACACAAATTGTCTCTCTCAAGCATTTGGAGTCCATGCTTTTTTGAAACACCTGTTTTTCTTTGTCAGTTTTTGGATTGCCTTTTAAAATTACCGTTTTCTACTCCAGGATCTAAACAATAGATCAATTTAAAACTAAAAGAAAAAAAATATTTATTAAATTGTTCTCTTCGCTAACAAAAGAAAATATAAATGGAATTTCACAGCTCTGGAGAAAAGCATCATCCATGAACTTCCTACTACTACTACGGTACATCTACAGTAAACTGTAAAAAAATCTGTTGATTGCTGCATTTATTCACAAAAAATAAGTTATCTCCTGCGGAATCCATTTCAGTTACACTATATAAAATTAATGACTTTGTGGGAGTCACCTTGCCTGAACTAACCTGTAGCAACAGTAGACAACTATTCATAATTAGTCAACTAACAGCAGTCTCTCATATCATAAATGCATGTAATAATATGAATTATTTAAGAAGAAGTTAAAGTCAAATCTATTAGCATAGTCTCACATCATTTCTCTTTGATCAACAGAGCTCTTGTTTTCTTGTTCTTCATTTCCTAAAAGCTGTAATCACAGGCAATTTTTGGATAGCAGACTGTACCAGGAAATCCAACAACTGCATGGCATGGTGATGTGATAGGAATATATGATGACTCATATACAAAAAAAGGAAGTAAATCATTTTATCTTTTCCATGTACATATTATTACTGAGATTAGTTACAATTTAATACCATTGTTATACCTTGTTCCTGTTACCTTTGTCTCATTTTTGGGTAGGTTTTTTTTTTTTTTTTTTTTTTTTTTATTTGTGCTATTCTACATACTCTTCCTGTGTTTGAGCGCCAGTGTTTTTTTCCCTGCATACAGCATAAAAACTGACAAATAAGCACTAAAAAAATTATTTTCAGGCTCAGACATTGACTAGGTAAATACTATTATGATAAACACCTGGCATATAATACGTTGTTTTAGCATGAACATATTATTTTTGGTGTTTTCAGTATACACAACATACTTGACTGGGCATCTTTAAAATCTGCCTTGTGCTTTGATTTAATATTGAGGCATAAAATACTTTCCTCCATCATCACTAGAAAAATAACAGTTGCATTTGATAAAGCAGTGATACATTTGCTTCGGGTAAGATTCATGGGTTTCATAAACAGATGAAAAAGCCTGTCTTTTCTTTAGGGTGACACCCAGAAAAACAATGGTGGACAATATGGTTTATGCAGTTCAGTGTAGTGAAGAGTGCAAAGACCTGTACATTGGCGAGCAACCAGTACACAGGCAAATGGCTCAACACAGGAAGGTAAATTCTTCAGAAGAGGATTCAGCCGTTCACCTACACCTGAAAGCTAAAGGACACTCATTTGAGGACAACATCCATATTATTGCTTAGGAAGAAAAATGGTTTGAGCAAGGGGTTATGGAAGACATCTTTGTTAACCTGGAAAAAAAACCCATCTCACAACAGAAGAGGTGAACTTAGACATAACCTTTGACCTACTTACAAAGCACATGTATGAAAAATACCCAGAAATGTCACCTCGCACCCGCCCTTACCTGACACACTTCAATAAGGCATGTGAACGAAACCACTCTGACAGGGGAGTTAACGACAAACCAAAACCCCCCAACGACCATTAACACCTCCCATGTGACCTCCTTGGCAATTCAATGGGAGGAATGACACCTGGTTTGCTCATCTCCAGTACCGTTCCTGCTGGTCCATCTTTCTGCCCACTCTCACCCATTCATTGTTTTCTCTTGGGATTCTCAGACACTCAGGTTCCACCTCAGGATTCACGGACCTTCCTTTGGGACTACTCCACTCACACAAACAGTAAGCCTGGTTAAGTTGAAACCCCGCAAGTAAACTTTGCTCCATCTAACTTTTTCTCACTCTTTCCAGTCAGCAGAGCTCCACAGCAGGGAGCTCTGCTTTGGAGAATAGTCAATCTCCACAGCAGAGCTGTGGAGATTAACTATTTTCATTTGAATCATGTTGTCATCTGTCGACAGAGAGCTAAAGATGGAGTGGCAGAGAAGAGCACTCACAAAACAGAAAATGGAAGAGGAAGAAGTATAGAGATGTCGCAGGAGAAAAAATACTTTTCAAAGTGGTTGAAAGACAGTAGATAAGATTTGTCAGATCCCAAGAGGATACTCAGCTTAGCTAAAGCTACTGATGAAATGACAGATCAGTCTTGCCTTACAATGTTTAGGCCACTGGTCAGTATTTACTGCGGATAGAATAAATACAATGTCCTTTGGATGTCAAACAACACATTAAATAGACCCCATCTGTCATAGCTGTGTATTTGTCCAAAAGGACAGACACCAATATACAGCCCAAAATGTGTTGTTTGTCTGTGCTGCAGGAGTATAACCAGCCCTTAAGAGGATGAGAGCCTGTGAGATGATGTCTTTGTCCCCATGCACAGTGGGGAGCAGGAACGCATGTCCCTGAGGGAGTTGTCCTTTGGGGATCTTGTTAAAGAGGGTTTGAAGCAGTTTGGAGAGGACAGCAAACATTTATTTATTTACTTTATTGCATTAGTTATTTCTTACACTGCTTCAACTATTGCCATAGAAGTGGTTCTTTTGGATCTAAAGCCATATCAGCGTTGACTCAATATCTGATGTTCGTTAATGAACTTATGAAGTCGAACCAACAATCTTTTTTCAAGGATTTTTTCAAACTGGTCCAACAGTGAAACTGGTCTATAATTGGCGAAATGTGTTTGTCCTCACTTTTGAATAGTGGTATTACTTTTACCTTTTCATTTTGTTTTGGAACAAGCTGAACTGAAAATACAAGTTGCAAATAATGATGAGTGGAATTGCAATATTATCAATAACTGTCCTAATTAAAGGCATATTGATATCATGAAAATTATTAGAATAATAACTATTTTTTAAATTCAGAATAACACTTTTCACTTCTTCTTCATTTGTTACACAGAGAAACATGGAATAAGGATTCTTGAACATAGTATCATTCCCTTGATTATAGCATTGGTCAGGAATCTCAGCAGACAAGTCTGGGCCAACATTCACAAAGGACTGATTAAAGTTGATAACTATTTTGTTACTAATGTAAATTTCTCCATTTATACCATAAAAAATAACTGGGATACTCAATTTTTGCTGATCCCTATCTAATAAAGCTATTCTTTATCTCAAACATTTTCTTGATATTTATTTTATTATGATACTGGTTTTCTTAAAATACAACTGTTTAGCAGTTCTAATCATATCTGTTAGTTTATTTTTGTATGTCTTATATCTTTGTTCTGCATCTTTCATTTTGATAAAGAATGTGCTCCACCAGTGTTCAAAGAAAACCACCCTGCACTTTGGTTGTCCATATCCAAAATAAATATCATGGTTTACCATGACTGACACTTTTAAGGATCTTTTGTGGAAGATAGGGGATACCTTTATTGAACAACCTCAAACAATAAAAATAAGATTATCAAATGTCGTTTTTAAAAAAAAACAGTTATAATCACTGCTTACTCCTGTCAGTGGATCCATTTTACCAAAGACAACATCCTTAGTCTTGATTTCAAAGTTCACCTTGATCATTGTTTTGACATTCCTTTAGCAGTTTAGCACACATCCAACCTGTTGACTAACGATGACCTTTAGTAGTAGATAGATGTGGATGTATAAGAAGCATTGAAATAACATATAATATTTTCAATTGGACAAAGAAAACAAAAAGTATACAACAAGAGGTGATTTTTGTTGATTTTGCATCATTGTTCTTCATTATTCCTCCTTCCACTCAACTTTCCATTGAAATACAATACTGTGTGTAGAACTAGCTTCTTTACCAAATTCAATTAATGGCAAATCCTTTATATGTTGAATGTCCTTGAGTCTCTGACAACTGTAGAATAACCATGATTGTGCAGTCCACTTTAATGTTGTACTAATACTGAATTGTGAAGTTGAAGGCAAATGATGCATGGCTTCCAAAAATTCTATACAAATAAAGAAATTCAACCCCTTTTACTATTAAAACCTATGTATCATCTTTTGCATTAAACTACCCTACAGAATTCACCTAATTGGTAAACCTTGGCCAATGCCATAAAACCTATTCCATTATTAAATTACCTGCTCTTTATTGACCTCAGATGCTATAAAATGTTGGTAATGAAATTAAATAATAAGAAGCAGGGAACACACCAAAAAGACGCACGATGCAGTTTAGATTATTATTTGTAAAATATTCACAATTGTGCAGTACAACTCTAATGGTTGATTACCAACAAACAAACAACAACAACAAAAAAAATGCAATAAATCAAACTTTTCAAAGTGAATTTGGGGATGGGGAAAAAAAAACTCATTAAGGAAGAATAGTTTTCTGGAGACCTGCGTGCCAGCTGTTGAAAACAGATGCTTGAGCCATATTTGTCCGTTTTTGATATCCAAACATGATACCAAGCTACATGCAGGGTTAGAGGGGCCATTGAGGCAAGGTTGATCCCCTTTCAGCGCTTAGCCAGTATCCCAGCTTTTTTGTGAAATGCAATCCATCACATAATGTCTGTCGCCTGGGGGCTCTCATCCTCTTTCCCAACCCATATGCCCACACACTAGCAGTGCCACATCACTACTGCAAAGTGCATATGGCATGCTTTGATGCAGCAACACTAACTTATATGCTCTCCCTTCTTCCAATAGGAGGCTAAACACACCTCAATTTGTCACCGTTAGTTTTTCTTTCTTTATCCTTTTATTATTCCTGCACTTAAGCTGCAGTTCCTGCTTCAGTGAACTCACAGTACATTACTGGGTCTGTCCTGAAAGCTACAGGCTACAGCTTTTATTGCAATATTAGAGTCCACAAGCAAAAGGATGGAGGGACGCGAGGGAAGCAGAACCAGTCGGGCAATCCCAAGTATGGCGTAATTCTATAACAATCAGATTCTAAGAGGAAGGGGGAGAAAAAGAAGGGTTTTGTGTGTGAGGGAGGGAGAAAAAGAGGGAGATGAGGTTATTTCCATCAGTCAATAAGAGAAGGCGTGCACTTGTGTGTTGCGTCGTTTGATGCTCTACTCGGTTCCCCCGAGCATCCTGAGGGGCTTTGTCAGAGGCTGGGGTGGGCAAATCAAAGCCACTAAGAGGACTATCTTTTTGCGGGAGGACTCGAGGTCGAGTTTGGTGAATGGAAGCCCTGCCGAGTGCGCCGCACCGGTCAGCAAAGACGCACCGCCGCACTTTGGATAAGTCGACCTGCGTTTCGCCAAGACGCGTCGCTAATCTGCGTCTCATAAAGCTGAACTCAGTGGCATGAATTATTTCGCCTGTCAGTATAGGTGACTCCAGAGTCAGTATTTTGCTTCATTCCTGTCACTGAAGTGATTGAGGGGGGCAGCGAACACTGGAAACTGGCAGTGTGCGCAGAGAAGGGGGTGTCAGTGTCAAAGATGCAGGTGGGTCGGTGCTGCATGGGTTCCAGCTTTTCTTGGTTTGTCTGGCTACTCTTACTTTTCTCAACTCTGAACATCAGAGTTACTGGAGTCACAGGCACCCATCAAAGCATCCCCCCGTCTGTGTAAGTAGTTCACTTTACTTTTACGCAAATGTGCTTCTTTTCAAAGTAGTATCAGAATAGAGTCAATTCGTGATTTTTTTTTCCCATTTGGATGCAAGTCCTGTAATCAGTCAACGCATTTTGTTTAAGTGGTTCATACTTACACGCATAACATGCAATAACAGATTTATAAATATCTGTTGCACTTTGTGTCAATTTGAGAGAATGTGATAATATGTAAAACAAATCAAAAACAAATTTAAAAAGCTCCCTTGTTTGTGCTTTATTTGGTTATACATTTTTCACCAATATCATAATTTCTCCTTTTATTTATTTGTTTTTACTATTGCACTCATACATGTAGGGTGAAGCTCTGGGCCTCTGCGTTTGGTGGGGAGATGAAGTCAATCTCTGCAAAGTACTCTGGCTCCCAGCTGCTCCAAAAGGTTTGCTGATTTACCTACAAAGTTAATTAGCTGTAAAATAAGTGGCAAAATGTTTATTATGGAAAAAGAAACCCGTCTCAAAATATTAGTAAAATGTTTTGTTGGAAAACACACATTTAGGATTTGAAGGCAGCTCAAACTTCTATGAAATAATAAATGTTCGCTGAGCTGGTTCAAATTGATATAATTCTTGGTTCAGTAGTGATATTACATATTGCACTACTATGAACAAAATGTTGTGTTTTGTACATGTAT